CCCCATTTTATAGGTAAGAAAATATAAGCCCAAGTAGGGAGGTCTTAAATTCGGTCAGGAACTCAGAGGTGAGGCTGCCAAATAAATAAATCAATCTCACTTTCAGCTAGACCTGATCCCAGCCTGGTCCCCTAACGGGGATCCCTCCCCTACCCAACCACCCGGACACACACAGTGCACTTTTCTCCATTTGACTGAGGCGGCAGATTCCTCTAAGGACGGTCCTGGCAGCCAACCTGCTGAGCCCTTTTTCTCCTAAGCCATGAGTAGAGCTTCTCTTAGGCTCCGGAGGAAGAGTCCGTCATGGCAGACATGACGACAGGGGAAGAAACAGCCTTTCTAAAGGAATATTCTGCACATATGCTGGGCCCTACACAATGACTTTGAAAAGCCACACACTCATCCCAAATGTACAAGCATTTAACAAAATTATTTTGAAGTGATTTCATGGGAAAATAAAATTATAGATATATAATTATTATATATAGTATATATATATATATGGCGCAAAAACATCATATGCACTATTTTCTAGTAACCCCATGTTTTCAATAAGGCCCAGCTTCATTCTTTACTTCTCTCAGACTTATTCTCATTGACTTAGAGAGCCTTCCAAAAATCAGTCCTACCTTTAGTATAGAAAAATTAGCAACCGTTAGGGCAATAAGAAAAACTCCTTCCCAATCCTGAAAGCAATTCCCAAAGCAGAGTATTTCTAGAGGAGCCAAAGTCTAGGCAGGATCAGGAGAACTTAACAAGCATCTCCTGTGAACATCCTGTGTATGATGCTACAGCACTGAGGCAAATGCCGACCGCAAGGCCAGGCCGGAGGAAGGGAGGGAGGGGAGGGGGCGAATCGCCACCGCCGACGCGCAAATGCGGGGCCAAGGGAGGGAGGAGTGGTCAGTCTGTTTTCTCTCAATGCCGGGCAGGCAGGCCAGGGCTCTCACCTCCCCCACCTTTCCCCAACCTCCCTGCTGACCTACTCCCCCTTCCCCCAAAGCCCCCTTCACTTTATTGACACCAGTGTTTAACCTTTCACCTCTGGCAACCTCCACTGTTTGCTCCTTGGGAAACACGGTGACACGGCTGCCCTCTCTCCTGGTCACCCCCCAGAGAAAAGGGGGCAGAAAGAGCCCAGAGCTGAATGAGCCGCCACAGGCAGGGGCTGTGTCTAATCCCATCTCCGGCCCTGCACAGTTGAGAAGCATTTCCCAAGGAGGGGAGCCCTTGCAAGTGTGGCCGTTTCTCTGTCTCTCAGGAATATAGTTTTTCCAGCAGACTTCCTGATTCTCTCATCCTGCCTTTAGATCGTCCCAACTTTTCTTTCTCACAGCCAACTTCCCTCTAAACCTAGGAAACCAAAAATATATATTTGGAGGGAATGACAACTGCCTACTATGGTGAATTCAGAGACTAGAGTCCATCTGTGGAGAAAATGTTTCCATCCAGAAGGAAAAGGAAAGGAGCACCCAGAAAAAATAAGGTCAAGCTTTGAATACATGCACTGCTGTCCCTCTGGTCACTGCAGCATCCCAGAGATGCGGGGGCCTTGGGGGTCTCCAGCCTGAATGCCTGAATGTCAGAGGCATGCCTTTGGGCAGTGGAGGCTTCTGAGTCTTTCCTGATACTCTATACCCCTTTTAGCTTTCTCTGGCTATGATCACAAAATGTCCAAAAATGGCAATGTGTACCATTCTCCTGGATGACTCCACAGTGTGCATATTTTATATACAATTTAATCAGAAACCCAGAGATGATTTGCTGGAAGCAGCCCAAAGGCCAATTTGCCACCCTTCTGGGAAACCGTGAATAAAGCTTTCTGGGTTGTGAAGCAAAACTACCCAAGGAGCAACAACACAAAGATTTAAAACTCACACAACTTCACTGAACTCACTGAGTGTAAACCGCTTGCAACCATTTTACCTCTAAGTCAGTAGGCGTCACATGCATTAACTGAATCTAATAACCTGCTTGTTATTATTAAAATTCTAATTCAACAAAAGTGATAGACGAGCACATAATATAATGGCCGTTTGGGGGGAGGTTGCCAGCAGCCTGGGAACAAGGAGGAAAGGGCGGTAAAGGCCAGAAGTCACCAAGCTGGGTCTGCTTCCAAGTGCTGGAGTGATAAAGTGGTTATTAATGATAACGATAATAATTAATTTGTAACATGAAAATAAAATAGTGGGCTCTCTTACTCTCAGGTCTGATGTATCAAATGAATGTGTGCAAAGCATTCCACAGATTTACAGATGAGCTGTTTGTACAGACCTTAAGCATAGATTTTAAGAACAAAACAAATGAAAGATTGCATCGTTTCAGTCTTCAGCGCATAGAAGTAATCATGAATTTGTATATGCTTGAATACACACACACGCTTACTTATAATAAATACATATGTGCAATGTAGCATGCATATATATACATAGACACATATATCACACATACATAACCACACAAGTCAGAACAAACATTTACTCGGACTCTTGTCCAGCTCTTTTGTAGGTGGGCTCATTGGACTGACCTGTCAAAATGTAGAATAAATATTTGCAGTAGATCTTAATTCATCTCCCTGAACATGGTGAGAGTCCAATCTGAATGGTTTCACGATATTATCGGTATAATCACTTTACATCTCTGTAGACTTTAACTTTGGGGAATCTTTAAATTTATAAAGAGAGAGGGAAGGAAACAAGTATTTCTCATTCTGCCATCCATGTGGCAGTCCAGCCTTTCTTCAGTGAAATGGAAAGCAGCCATAAGGACGACCGCAGAGTGTCATATGAAACTTGAGGTAGCGTCTAAGGACTCTGCCATGGAGAAAATTCGAGCTTTTCCCCACAGATGGCCATCTCAGCAAGTGGCGGGGGCACAATTCCCGTAAGTAGGAAGTGACGGCTTTAGGAGGCCAAGAAAACTAACAGGTGTTTCGACTGCACTTGAAACAGCGAGGGAGCAGGAAGCTGGAAGTTCTGATTTGGGGTGGTTCTGAAGAACAATGGGGCCATTGGAAAGTACTTGTTGGGGCCACTGGGCTGTGAAAGCCCGCTGATAGACATGCAAATGTGAGGGGGCCTGAATAGGCTCGGCAAAGCCGGGTTTCCACGGGCTGGGCGGGGAGAGCTTTGGGGAAACAGGCGGAAGCATATGCCCTGAGCCAAAAATAACGTTTGCGTTGTAAGGACTTTTAGGTAGAGCTGAAATGAGCCATTGAACGCTTTTTTTAAAGTGCCATTGGATTCTGAAAAGGCAGCAATAATGCAAATTTGAAGTTTGCCTTAGTTAATTGGGCAGAGGATTCACCAATTAATCATAGAGAGGCAGAAAACGATTACTTGGTCTCACTGATGAAATGCTTTAAAAAAAAATACTATACTCAAACATCTGAATCTGACAACCTGAAAAAAAGAGTAGCAAGGTCTTTTAACCTCTAAAATTCACCTGAGCTGAGATAAACAGCTGAGAGCAGTAGGTTAAGGTTGCATTAACACTCAGCCACGGGTGAGAGAGCCCTCTGGTTCCTGAACCTTGTCTTGGCCTAATCTCTGAGAGGGAAGCCCCAGGGGTCAGCAAAGAGCATGGCTAGTGCCCCATACCCTTCCCAGGCTCAGCCCTGAGCAACACCGCCAGGAAGGAGTGTGCTGAAGTTCCCATCACCGTCTGGAGGGATAGCCGCTAACCTGAAGTCCAAGGAAGGACCCAGGAGGAGGAAAACCTTCCTTCTCAACGCAGATTCCAAGTGTCTGGTATTAAACTGATTATCCAGAA